GGGGTCTTAGAGAACTGCACTCTCGTCAGGGTGGAAAAGCCTCTGAGGCAGCATTTTACATGAAATAGGATACTCCCTGTTTAACAATTGCATCAACAGTGCATCACTATCAGGTGTGCAAACTCTCCTAGTGGGCCAGATTGGACCCTGGGCAAATAGGGAGGCTTTGGGTTAAATTTTAGTCACAGAAACTGTTGACATTTATTACAAATGAGCTATTCTCCTTTTTCAAATCATGATTTGGTTAGCTATGTGATCAAACCCCTTGTAAAAGCCTGTTTATATATGCTTAAATACTTTTCATTTTTCATCATTGTAACCATGGATTTAAAGACCTAATTACACAAATAAAACAGAAGACTAGAGCTACGGTTTAAGACTGGAATTCAGCCACAGAACATAACAGGAAATATCCACTCAGTTTCCATTTTATTAGACACACTTGTAAAATCTAATGTGATCCAATACAAAAGCTCAGCTATCAATTCTACCTTCACAAAGATATCACCGTTCAGTTTGGATTGAAACTGTCAGAGGTATTAATTCAGTTTTAAGCTTATTATTGAGACTGCTGTTTGCAGTGGTGTTAAACTGCTTTAATTTAGGTGTTCTTAATATTTTGCCTCCTAGGGGAATATTAGAAACACATTGCAATAATGCAGTACAGTACAGCTACACCACTGACTACAGCCTGAGTAATGAACAGTAACACAGTTTAACAAATTTAGCACTATAATCTCCCTAAATGTAAAATTAAAATGACATGTCTTTATTGATCCCCAGTCAGAAATTAGGTAATTACTGGCAGATCTGTTATACTGGATTGCTCTTACAGTGGCTAGGGAATATTCATGTATTCATATATTAGACATCTGAAATTTTCCACGACAGTCGAGCAGGTTTGAGGCTCTGATCTGGCAAAGCAATTCTGGCAACTCTGGTGACAGATCTCAGGTAAGCCAAAATACAAGCATCACTTGGGATAGTTGTGTGCTTTCATGGTGTGCACATAAATAACAGCTCTCACGAGGGAAGGAAACATCTGAAATCATTTTTATTACAAGATAAATGAACACCTGACAAGGTCATGTCAACATAACTGAAAATTCATAAACCCACAAGGTTTTTATACTGCATTTGGCACTATTTCAAACTCTGAAATCTTAAATTAATTTACCATCAGTCTTCAAACAAAAACATTTTTACAGTCTTTGTAAATCTTATCATCTTTCATTCGCTCATTTGCTTCGACCAAACACTGGTTTCAGTCTTGTTGCTGTGGCTCAGGACTCAGCAAATCGCAACAATGTCCCAGACGTTGTAGGTATGCTGTGGAGAAAACAAAGGCTTTATTCAGTACATTAAGATGTAACGAGCAGCATAGGATTCCCCAACAGCCTGGGATGAGTAATAAGTCAACTTGGTCAGTCACTGGTGGATATGGTTAAAAAACAACAGCTGCATTGAGCTATGATTTTAAGCAGTTATAGCTGTCTTGTCCTTTAAAAAAACTCCATATTGCAAGGATCAAGCAGGCTGGTTTTTGAAGGTTTTTACAACCACATATTTTAACACCAGTGAGCAAGCATCTAGCCTGAGGGTTGTTCAAGCAAGTAACAAAACCCTCAATTACTGAACTGAGAGCAGCTGCACTAAGTACCTGCCCTTTTCATTTGACAGATAGGTAAACTCTGACCTACTGCAAAACCAACTAAAATTAAAAACACTTTAAAGAAACAGCAACCTGTACACAAGCAAATATTACCTTTCTACCAGCTCTGCACCAACAATATCACTGATGTGGTATTTCATGTGGAATTTCACATGTGTGGTTGTTTTCCGCTCCTCCAGCTCTGCCTTTAAGACTTCACTATATTTGGACTTCTTCACCATGCCGAGCACTGCTTTACGACCTAACAGGAAAAGCGGTAAGCTGGTTAGAAAACAAACACTCCTCCGTTTAGCAAGGCACCGTCAAATATCTTGTAAAATGAGAAATTTACATGTGAAGCAAAGTATCGTTGAGACTGTTTGTTGTAACACACACCTTGTATTAAGTATTTGGTGAATTTGCCAGAGTTGGGAATGGAAAGCCACCAGCTGCCTGCGTCCCTCACTGTCAGGACCCCTGACTTCACCAGCTGCCTGGAGGGTGAGAACAGGAAGCATGTGCGGATGTTTGAAATTTGAAATTTTAGAAGTAAAAATAGAACATGATAGATTGTCTTTCATACGTTATCTCAGAGTCTGTGAAAAGGAACTCCTTGAGCATCCTTTCTTTGCTGAAGCTCAGCTCTGTGCAAGGTGACAACAATTTCTCCAAGAACTTCTCCACTGTTGCCCGTGTCGCTCTGCCCTCCTCTCCTGCCAGCACTTTGGCCTTGTAATCGGAAGCAAAAACCAGCCCGAAAGCGTCTGCATCGAACCCGAGCTGGAACATCAGCAGCTCTCCTCGTTCCCGCAGCTTATTCTGTGGACCACAAGAAGTTCAGTGGGTTGTAGTTTCACATTTCCACCGAAGCACATGAACTTCCTGTCACTAATGAGTCTTACCAGCTCCTTGTCCACCAAAGTCTTGTCATTGTGTATGCTGTAGAGTTGGTGCTTAAGAACAATTTGAGGCAAGGCGTCATTGAAGAGCTTCCTGGGGAACAGTGTCATGAGGTACTTAAGGCTGGATCTGATGTCAGTTGGTCCTTTGAAGCAGTAAATGCAAAGTGAATTTTACATGTTTTAATGACATTTATACGACTTTGTAATGCGCCTCTTAGCAGCCACACCTACCATCTCCATCACTGATATCCCCAAACTTTGTAGTCTCATGTCTTCTTTTCTTCACCATGAAAGTGTCTGAAATCAGAGCCCGTTTTCTGTTCATACCTGGAGGAGGAAAGATGGTAGATAACAAAACCTGTTTACCCTGACAGCTGCTTTCCTCATGCTGACTCAACTGAAATACACAGACCCCATGGGTTTGCATGAGTTTGGCTATCGGGAAATACATCTCCTCACTTAGAAATGTTTGCTGAATGAAACCGTTAACATGGTAATAAACAACAGTTTGTTCTCATTTTGTGAGACACTGGCGTTTTGGTATAAGGACGAACAAGTGTCAAATTTAGTTAGCTAGTTAACACATAGCACCGGCAAAAACTTCACGTTAGCTCCACTTTTGAAGATACGAACTACAAGCTAGTTTAGTTGTTCACCCAAATTATGGTTTTGAGAATAAAATAAATCTGTCATATTGAATTTGTGAACACATTTTGATGGGACACACACAATTAGCCACTATGTTCATTCACTTGGTGCTGTCTTTCTTGTTAGCCAAGCTAAAGCAGCTAGCTAACCTAGCTAACGCTACTTTGTGAGTACGCTGAACATATAAGCAAATACTTGACCTGTCAAACTAGTTCAAACGCTTACCTGATAACTACTAATAGCAGTTATATTAGTATTCATATCGCTTCGGTCCCGTTCAATACAACTGCTTAAAGCTCAATGGGACAACGTAAATATAAACCGGAAGTGTCGCTGATACCGGAAGTGACGTCGGCTTTGTTAGCTTATGATGCTAGTTAGCTACCCAGCTAGCGAGATAAGTACATTTTATATTTTCTTTCTTACCTTTTACGCAATGATCAGAAAAGATGGTGTAACATAGGATAGTCGTTTTTACACAAAGTCCGATTTATAATATTGACCGACAGGACATCGACAGAAACGTAACTACGTTAGCTTGTTTTGTTGTGTATGCTGGCTAAGGTACGTTCACGTAGGGTTTTCATCTATTACTAGTAATCTAGTTTTAGTTGTAATAAAGTATTTTTTATTACGGCAGGGTAACGCACATTGCCAAAGCTAAGTACAGCTATTTTAGGCACTCTTTGTTCACCTAACATACAACACATGCTGTGTACAATAAGTGTGTGTTTACAGATTGCAAACACACACTTACTGTACGCAGCATGTAAAACAAACATCATCTTTACATTATGACATTGTCTTTATCCACATACACACACTATATCATCATTTAGACAGATCATGGTGTGATGTGCTCAGTTGTGGTGCATTTAAATAAGAAACTGCTGATCTCATGCAAGAACACATGCACAAGAGAATAGACAGGTAATCTTAAGGGGAACACCACCTAATTTAAGAATTATAATATGTCATTTCCATTGCTAAGGAAAGCTCAGATGATATTTGATACTCTCTCAAAACCAAACCAGAGAAGGAAGTCTCAAACTTGTGATGTCATAGGGTATTAACTCTGGGGCTGCTCTGAAGACAGTGACTGGGAGCCTGATTTTGTGGACCCACAAAATGTTTGTTTTCTTTTTGATACTCAAATGATCTTTATTCTAGTGTAATGTACTTAGTTGTGAAACAGAAAATGTCCATTATACTCATAACATTCCTCTGGGTGCTCTCTGCAACCCTTTTTACACAGTGAGGCATGTAATGCAACAGTGTTGGCCTCTAGTTTGACATATAACAACCACATCAGCAGCGATTTCTAAACAACAATGTCATCAACGTGGCAACAACAATCATTTACCATCCAGTTATATGCTGGCTGAACTTGTCCTCTGCTCAGAGGGTAAGGAGCTTCCAGACCTCATCGTTTTCCCAGTTTGTGGACTCATTAGCTGCTGTTCTTCTTTGAGTCAGCTGCTAACTGCTATCAGCTACCTTTAAAACCTCATATAGTGGGTCAAAAAAAATGTTACACCCATGCCACCTATGACTCCATAGGTAGTTTTGGAGCTGTTACTACCTCCAATGCTGCTTGAAAGGTGAGACAACTCTGCCCCCCCCCCCCCCCCCATTCTGGAATAGTGCATTTTATACAGGACGGCAAGGCGGCATAAAGGCGTGAAATTCCTGCCTTTAACAGACAGTGTCATCCAGAACATTTTTCTCAATTCATTGTCTGTGGACCAGCTCCAGAGTTTCTACACTATGACATCACACGTGTGTTTTAGCACTCTAGTTTTTGGATTTGGGAGAGATATATTCATTTTTACTAATATTTTTGGACTGTCTCAGACGATAGGAGTAAAATGTATGGATTTTGAAAATTGGTGAAGTTCCCCTTTAAAGACTAGTATACTATGAGCATCTATTATGTTCAACATGAAGCATAAAAAACAAAAATAAAAGGTACTATATACACTATACACAAATAGTGGGTAGGGTCACATGTCAGATGCACTTTTAGCAGCATAAAAGAAAAAGGTTTGCACTGTCTTTTCAGTGACAGCACAAGTGATGGGGGCCTTAGCAAAGCAAGACAATCAAGAAGATATAAACAATCATCTATGTCATGAATTTGTGTCATTGCACTTTTCTCCACTAGGTAGAAATGGACCAGCACAGATCCCAAAGTCCCAGGTCCAGATACCAGAATTCTCATTCAGCGCACAAAAGACAGAGAGATGGAAATGGAAGACATCACAGTGAGAATAAATACTCCAGACCAAACCATCACCAGCATCACTTTCAGTCAACTCCTGGGCAAAACCCACCCAGCTCTCGGGGTTTGAGCACCAGAAGGGAGCTATATGAAAGAGACTTTCCTGTGTACAAACAGCCTGTCGAAGTTGGATGTTTCTCCCTCGACTCTGAGCGTAGATTCTTCAATGACAGGAGGCAGATGAGATATTATGTGGAACCTGACAGAAGTCCTAATTTTGACCTGAGAGATGGCTATAAGGACCGCTTTACAAAGAGAGACGATTGTGTGAAGGAAAAGCTGGATCACATCCTACGCTGGATCTTGGCCAACAGGTCGAAGCTCAGCTCAAGGGCGACCGCAGCCTCATCATGGTAAGTGTAATCAGAAGTTTTTGTTCTTCACATTCAGGGTAACACTTCTAGGTCAGATAGATACTCACTTGTGATTGTCACCTCTCACCTCAACTTTCCTGTTGGACGCATATTCTTTGATCAACCTCTGCTCTTCCCAGTGCTCTAGATGTAGAATTTGTGACATGGCGTGGTCATCTGACCAAGCTGCTGACCACTCCCTATGAGACAAAGGAGGGTTGGTTGCTGGCGGTCACCAGGTTCAGAGGCACGCTTTACATCAGTGAAGTGGAAACAGAAGCTGCCCGTAGGGAACGAGAGAACCGCACTGAGAGACATGAAGAGATGATGTACTGGGGATACAAGTTTGAACAATACACATGTGCAGGTAGGTAGGTTTATACACCTTTCTTTCAGATCTCAAATCATATAAAGGTACTTAAAGTGATGAGCACTTGTATGAATGATAACGCCTCATATTCATCCACTTCCTGTAGATACCGCCCATAGCTTACCTGACCCAGGCGGCGTGGTCAACACTAATGAGGCCTTCTGTACAGTGGTGCAAACTCGGCTTGCAGATCACAGACTCCTGTTCTCCGGTGAGGTTGACTGCCGGGATAAAGATCCCAAAGCTCCAGCTCCTCCTGCATGCTATGTCGAGCTGAAGACATCTGCGGAGATCTGCACCCCCAAACAGCGCAGCAACTTCCACAGGTAGATGCTGAAACCGCAAAACATCACATCTTTTATTTTTTCATGTCAGGGTGTTGTGTTTTTTTCCCCAAGTCTGAGCTGTTTTAAAGTTCCCTCATTTTGGTGGTCCTCAGGTTCAAACTGCTGAAGTGGTGGGCCCAGTCTTTTCTCCCTGGAGTCCCCCGGGTTGTGGCAGGTTTTCGGGATCATGAAGGAGTGGTTGTCGCTGTGGAGACTTTTCCCATCTCAAAGATTTCACATATCATCAAGGTATGGTAAAGCTGTTTGCAAGGATGAACAACTGGTCATCAAAAACGTATCCAAACACTGAGAAATCTGTTTTGAAATCTGTCTAAATAGAAGTTATTGGATTTGAATAAATAAATCATTAACTCAAAATATTCTGTTTCATCTGGACAGAATGAGCACAACTGCTGGAGGCCGACAGTGTGTATGAACTTCTGCTGTGAGTTCCTGTCTTTTGTGAAGCGAATCGTCACTGAAGACAATCCAAGGTGAGTTGCAGTGACAGACTATGTTGCTAACCTTTCTTTAATTTTAAGTAAACAGATTTTATAAATCAGCATTGTTTCCCTCTCAGTGTGGTGTACCTGTTCTCCTGGGAGCCCCACAGAGATGTGACCTACTCCGTCCACAGGGACTCCCAGTATTCCTTCCTGCCACACTGGTATGTGGACGGGATGAGCAGTGGTGAAGACTCACACCAGCAGTCGTAACTTACAACCAACCTACTGGGACTGTCAGTTCAAACCTCCAATGGAGGATTATTAACCAAAGTACGTTGGAATTTTAGATGTTTACAGTTTTACAGTCTCTTTTTGTGTCACTGATCATCTCCACGTGATTTTCTGGTGCTTTTTCTTATTTGTTGTTGTTGTTGTTAAGCAGTAAGAACTGCAGCATCTTTTTCATCTTGCATGTGGTGAATTGAAATAAAACAGCAGGTAAGCACCATTTAATATTGTTTCTCACACTTTATTGTTATAATAATAATAATTCAAACCCCAAAGTTAGAAAGCAATGTGTTTAAAACATTGTGATGTAAATAAACGAAGATAACTTAAAGCAAATATTGTGTCCACAGATACAAAGTTTCTTTCATGTAAACTGTTCTGTTCAAAACATTGGTAGTATTTTATTACGGTCCTTAACAATTTCAAAAAGGAATGCGCATAATAAATAATTATTACCATACAGCTACGTTTGAAAAAAACAAGTTGTCATTGCGAGATAAAAGTTATGAATGTGCACTGTGTCATCTAGTAATTATTGCCTTTGTTGTTATTTTATAATGAATAGTGACACATTCACCAGCTTTGGGCTCCTCAACTATTAAATGAGGTTCATGCTGTCCCTTTGCCTCACCTGAGTTAGTGATATTTTCTTTGCGCAGAGCTTTCTGCTTTTTCACACACTGTATATCACCAGATTTTGCAGTTTTCTCGCAGCAGTTTCATTTTTTCTGCCGTACTGGTAGGAGTGGTGGGGAAAAAAAAAATCACTACAGCCTAGTGGTGATATTTTGTAGACCAACATTATATCGATACACAGACGGCAAGTATAATTTTTCAAATATAAATTATTACTATTGCAAATTAAACTTTTGGCAGCATGAAATCAATTGCTTTCTCCGTCAACTGGATACATTTTGCTGCAGTAAAAAAGATTGAAGTGAGATGAACAGACTGAAAACTTTATCTTAAAAGAGAAAACAGATGTTGACAAAGTTTTCTTTTTGGGGACATAATTGGTAGGTGAAAAAATGTAAGAAAAAATTGCAATATATTTTATCGCAAAGCATTTAAAACCATAGTAATATTGTTTTGTTATTGTATCAGTCTCTGGTGATTCTCACCCCCACTTACTGGCCATGTATTGTTAACATAAAGCCACCTGAGGCCCTTCTGTGTGGAGTCTACATGATCTCCCCTTAGTGTGGGTTTTTTTCTGGGTACTCCAGCTTCCTCCCACAGTCCATAGACATGCAGGGTAACTGGTGACACATTTAAATTGCCTGTAGGTGTGAGTGTGAGCATGAATGGCTGTCTGTTTCTATGTCTCAACCCTGTGATAGTCTAGCAGTTTGTACAGGGTGTACCCTGCCTCTTGCCTAAAGCCAGCTGGGATAGGCTTCAGCCACATTTTAGAAAATGAATGAATGAATTTAATAAGGAACATTAGCCATCATAATTAATTTTGTAGCTGCCATGGGTGTACAATTTGTGGGGGGAACGCAGGGGAATTGCCCCCCTTAATATTTGCAGCCTGCATTTATCCCCCTTGATAAAAACATGACAGCTGAGGGCTTTATTTTAAAGACACTTATACCATATATTGGTTGAGAAAAGGCACAAATTGGTGCATAAAAAATCACCAGAATGCAAAAAAAATTAAGTGTTTGACACCAAAAACTTTCTGGTCTCTCTTTACGCAGGTATATAATTCACTGACACTCAAATATATGGTGTAACTGAGAACAGGAAGTGTGTGAGACAGCAAAAAGGTCTGATAAGGAGCTCATCTGGTAAATAACGTCATTTCTATTGTCATTAAGTTGACAGTATCCTTACTACTCGCACCTTGGTTACACACAATTTAATACAACAAACAGACAAAATGATTTTCTACATGTGATGTTACAAAGTAATATTGAGAGCAGCACCTCTGGTAATAGTTAAAACTCATGTTAACAGGTTGAACAACTAGTCCAACAACAACCAATGAAGTGAATCAAGTGTCAGTGAGGTTTAAAGGTGAAAGGCAGCAGAAACATCCGTTCAATAAATCAGAAAAAAAGAGCACGGTGATAAACAAATACTGTAAATTAATGCAAAACCCTGAATAACCAACACTACTAACAGGACACTGTGAGACAAATGTTCATACTGACCAATACAGTTGTAAAGACAGTTGACAATTAAGAGCATTGTGAGTTTAAGAACAGTCATCAGGGCGTTTACATCAGTTCATAGAGGCACTTAGCACCTACTGCAGTATTTACACACATGTACGTTCTACTCTCAAACTGTATTGCCACCCACTTATTCCATTTATATTAAATTCATTTTCACTTAATATATTATAACTGTTAAAACCAAGACCTTGCTGAGCTTGACACAAAAGTCTATAAATGAATAAATGAACGGGAGCTCTCCTCCCTTTCACCATCATTATTATTATTACTGCTGATGTGTGTGTAGTGATGACATCACAAGTCAGAATATTAAAAAACATTAATCTGGCAAAAATTTCGTGAGGTTTCTATCAAACTGAGTTAAATTCACAGTTAAAACATAAGACAGTGTGTGAAGAATGGTCCAGTATCTTAAGTCAAGGCAATACCAGAGTAGGCAGCTCAACTTATTGGTGTCATCATTTCCATTAGACCCCTAATGTCGAAGGAAAAGTTCCACAGTTTAGGAACAAAGAGTGTTCACTTTTTTGCTGATATTTCGATGAGAGGATCGATACAAATTTTGGTTTTAATCAAAGTGCAATCAATTTCCCTAAATGTCATATGATGTCAACTTTCCCTTCACAAAATAGTGTGATGTGTTCCCACACTAGTTTTAAAATCTCAGCTGGTGACATCACTTAGAGGGTCTCAACAGAGATTCACCTGTGGAGGAAATCAAGGCCAGTCTGCACAAATGGAACCATTTAAAGACCCAGTGAAATGAAAAAGGAATTTCCCCAGTTTTAATCCTTTGCCTCAATGTTAATTGATCGCTACATGCCAAATATATGTTAAAAAAAAAATCATAAATCCAGTCTCTTTTCCTTCCGCAAAACTAGGTAATGTTTCAAATGTTGAATGACTCATCCTGTACCCAGGCGTGATAAGGAAACTTTGGGCGAGACTTTGGACTAGCTAGCTACAGTGGTAATATAAAAGAGCACTTCACTGTTTGTGGGTTGGAATCATGGACTGTAAAAATTGTGGACGTAGGCACCATAATGTCACCTACTGGTTTGTGGACTCCAGTTTTAAGCCTCAAGTTCGGCATTTCGGTAGTCACCATTTTGGGTTTTTTTTGGAGCCAGAAATGACCATATTTGGGCGAGAGGCTGGCGCAGTGGAGGACCGCAGGGTGGATCTAAATGAGAAGCCAAGGACACTGAATGACAGTGTCCTTGGCACACTCACTCAAAGCAGCCTGCCCTTAATTATGCGTAACTTTAAGCCTTAATGAAATGTTGGTGACTTATATAGAAATTCACTCCTGAACAGTTGTCATGGACAGGAACATTAGCGACAGAGACCTGTTTTTGTACCAGGCTGTAAACATGTTTACCCCTGCTGTAAAGGTGGGCATTGTAACATTGGGGTCTATGGGGACTGACTGGCTTCTGGAGCCAGCCCCACGTGGCCATTCGAAGAATTGCAGTTATTGGCACTTCCATGTCGGCTTCATTTTTCAGCCCTGGAAGTTGATTGTGATAGTTAACAGAGGGATATGAAGAAAAATAGGAAGAAATGTGTGTTTGGTTCTCTGTGGACAAAACGGCTAAGGTCTATTTTTTCATCTCGCCATTGTACTCTTCCTGACAGGGTGAGGGTGGTGTCTGCGGAGCCAATAGGCCGCTATAGCTCTGTTTCACGCTAAACTCTAAGCCTGCCTTTACTTTTAAGCAGTCAAATCAAATGCGAAGGATTTGATCTAAATCCCTCTTGAAACTGCACACCAGTGTTGTAGCACTTGGAATCGGTCTTTGTCTTGAGACCTCTTTTTGAAGTCCTCGGTTGTTTAAGACATTTCTGCATATTTACTTGGTCTTGTCTCGGTCTCAGGCGAAGAGGACTTGGAATTTTATCAAAGGTAATATCATCAAATGGCTCGGGCAAGACCACAACTGCAGGTACATCACTTAATTGCTTTTGCATAAAAAGAAAAGTTGAATAAAGGTGGTTGAGTTCAGCTTTCAGATCAATTCGAGGGGTGCCTATCATGTTTCACAGTATATCCCAAGTGTGTCCTGCAGTGTGGAGCTTGCACTGGTCTAGTCCTGGTCTTGTGTTGATCACAATACACTGGTCTTGGTCATGACTTGGTCTCAGCCCCTTAGAGTCTTGGTCTTGTGTTGGTCTCACTACACTCAGGTCTTGGTCATGACTTGGTCTCAGTTTAGGTGGTCTTACAACACTGCTGTACCCTGCCCAAATATTCTGCTTCACTGTGAAATAACTTCCACTTCACTGGGACTTTAAAGGTTAAAAAAGAGGTTATTATTACGAGTATCACACCCTACTCTGGTTTTGGTGTATTTTTTGGGCAAGCGTGGGAATCTGTGGTCCTAAAAGGTACCTGTCCCATTTTTTTATTTTCTCATTTTGACTGAAACAATACCTGGCATTAACAAAAGATTAGCAGCCACTGATACGACCTACAGATGATGAGTGTACTAATGCCGTACTGTATTCAAGTAGGCGTGTGTTCAGTGCTTCAGCTTCTTGTTCAGGCCCATGACCTTGAAGGTAGCAGCAGTGATCTTCTCGTACACAACAAACATGAGGGCAGCCGTCAGCACCGTCTGTAGCAGCTTGGCCTCCAGGCCTTTGTACAACCCGAGAACACCATACCTCCTGTAATGAAGGGAACAGATGTGTGTTAATGATGAGCCAGTATAACATCTTCACCAGTGTGCTCTGTGTCGGTGAATGTGTTCGTGGCTGTACTCACTTGATTCTTTCCATTAGCAGAGAGAAAATGTTTGAGAGGCTTCCAATCAATCTGCCCTTGCCGTCACCTTTGTACTGGCCGAACTGATAAGAAAGCATGAAGCAGCAGGTTAATTATAATCCTTGAGATTTGATGAGAGATCTGAGATTGAATATCTGACATTGTCATGAGATCTTGACGACATGACAGACAATATATTATATAATAGTATAGCACCAGGCTTATCTGTCAACAGTGGCAAAGTTTTCAGATGTTTTGGAAAAGCAAACAAATGGGTGACATTTTATGTAAGATATTATTTACCCTCAGGATGGCCTGAACTGTCTGAAGAGGATACGTCGCTGTTGTAGCGATGGCCTTGGCAATGGCTCCAATGAGAAAGATCTCTGCTGAGGATATCTGTGGTAGGAGACAAAGATTTAACCCACTCATACCCAGTGTTTTCATTTGTTGTTAGAGTAGTACCTGTGTTTAATGTCTTACTCTTTTGATCAAAAATGACCCGAAGCTAAATTTCTTCTGATTGTTGTATGTAAATAGTTCAAATAAATACTAAATATAGCAACTTCCGATCAACCCGTAATAATTTCAGTCTTAAAATAACAACTTCCATTTAGGTCCCACGCAGTTTCAATTTGAACTGAAATGTAGTATTCAACACAGTGCTATCTTTCTGGTGCCCTCTTACCTTCTTCCCTCCCCTGCCTGCCCTCCTCTTCATGGCCTCATAAAACATGAACTGTACAGCCGGGTTGACGACGAGGATGAGTGAGGGCAGAGTGCCGTTCCACAGAGTTCCCACTCCCTCATTGGCTATGATCTGTGAGAAAGCATCTGAGAGGGAAAGCCCAAACACAGCAGGGTTTTTAAAACTGCACAGTGACAACAAAACAAGCATACTATAAAACAGATATATATCACACACCAAAGATGCCCTTGTACTGGGTCTGATGGAGATCTTCATTCCTGAACTTTACTCCCTGCAGCTTCAGTCGAGTGTTGACCACCCACATGGGAGTGGTCGTAATCACATTCACCACCCCTGCAGGAACAACAGATCGTTAGCTTTCTAGAGTCACTGTTAGAGGTACCACATGGCTTTTTTGACCTCTGGTAGCTCACATTCATCAATATTGAAAAAAATACAGTAAAGGCCAAAAGTTTGGACACACCTTCTCATTCAATGCGTTTTCTTTATTTTCATGACTATTTACATTGTAGATTCTCACTGAAGGCATCAAAACTATGAATGAACACATGTGGAGTTATGTACTTAACAAAAAAAGGTGAAATAACTGAAAACATGTTTTATATTCTAGTTTCTTCAAAATAGCCACCCTTTGCTCTGATTACTGCTTTGCACACTCTTGGCATTCTCTCCATGAGCTTCAAGAGGTAGTCACCTGAAATGGTTTCCACTTCACAGATGTGCCTTATCAGGGTTAATTAGTGGAATTTCTTGCTTTATCAATGGGGTTGGGACCATCAGTTGTGTTGTGCAGAAGTCAGGTTAATACACAGCCGACAGCCCTATTGGACAACTGTTAAAATTCATATTATGGCAAGAACCAATCAGCTAACTAAAGAAAAACGAGTGGCCATCATTACTTTAAGAAATGAAGGTCAGTCAGTCCGGAAAATTGCAAAAACTTTAAATGTGTCCCCAAGTGGAGTCGCAAAAACCATCAAGCGCTACAAGGAAACTGGCACACATGAGGACCGACCCAGGAAAGGAAGACCAAGAGTCACCTCTGCTTCTGAGGATAAGTTCATCCGAGTCACCAGCCTCAGAAATCGCAAGTTAACAGCAGCTCAGATCAGAGACCAGATGAATGCCACACAGAGTTCTAGCAGCAGACCCATCTCTAGAACAACTGTTAAGAGGAGACTGCGCCAATCAGGCCTTCATGGTCAAATAGCTGCTAGGAAACCACTGCTAAGGAGAGGCAACAAGCAGAAGAGATTTGTTTGGGCCAAGAAACACAAGGAATGGACATTAGACCAGTGGAAATCTGTGCTTTGGTCTGATGAGTCCAAATTTGAGATCTTTGGTTCCAACCGCCGTGTCTTTGTGAGACGCAGAAAAGGTGAACGGATGGATTCCACATGCCTGGTTCCCACTGTGAAGCATGGAGGAGGAGGTGTGATGGTGTGGGGGTGTTTTGCTGGTGACACTGTTGGGGATTTATTCAAAATTGAAGGCACACTGAACCAGCATGGCTACCACAGCATCCTGCAGCAACATGCCATCCCATCCGGTTTGCGTTTAGTTGGACGATCATTTATTTTTCAACAGGACAATGACCCCAAACACACCTCCAGGCTGTGTAAGGGCTATTTGACCAAGAAGGAGAGTGATGGAGTGCTGCGGCAGATGACCTGGCCTCCACAGTCACCGGACCTGAACCCAATCGAGATGGTTTGGGGTGAGCTGGACTGCAGAGTGAAGGCAAAGGGGCCAACAAGTGCTAAACACCTCTGGGAACTCCTTCAAGACTGTTGGAAAACCATTTCAGGTGACTACCTCTTGAAGCTCATGGAGAGAATGCCAAGAGTGTGCAAAGCAGTAATCAGAGCAAAGGGTGGCTATTTTGAAGAAACTAGAATATAAAACATGTTTTCAGTTATTTCACCTTTTTTTGTTAAGTACATAACTCCACATGTGTTCATTCATAGTTTTGATGCCTTCAGTGAGAATCTACAATGTAAATAGTCATGAAAATAAAGAAAACGCATTGAATGAGAAGGTGTGTCCAAACTTTTGGCCTGTACTGTATATAACAATACAGTTTTAAAAATGTCAACATGTTTATTTCTTTACAAGAAAACTCCACAGGGCACCTTTAAGTCCTTCACTCAACACCTTCAATACTTGATTGTTTCCATCAGATCATAAATAACCACTCGTTTGGCCGTGCTTACCTGCTACAACCCCCATGAGCAGGTCTTTGCCAGGTCTGGGTTTTCCAGGACCAGATGCTGTCAGCTTCTTCAGCGTGTTGAAGGTGTAGAAGTAGACAAAGTTGGAGCAGCAGAGGCTGGAAATGACTGGTAACCAGCCTCTGTACAGAGACTGACTGGGAGAAGTGGCAGAGAGTCAGACTTAGAGAACCAGCAGATATTACGTTACAGAAGCTGAAAACAGGAATTATTGGCATTTTCAGTGTCAGTCAATCATCTGGTAAACTGAATGCTTCAGCTCTAGTTTATGCAGATTTTACTGATCAGAAATGTCTGCTGTAATTACATTGCAGTAGTACTTTACTCAGTTCAAATTAAATCATAAACCAGCAGAGAACTACACTTACAGGCCTTCTTCCTTTGCTATCTCAGCCAAGATGATGGGGGTTGACTTTGACTTTCTCTTCTCATCCACTGAAAAGCAAACAAAAATGAGAAAAGTCAGTGAACAGGTCCCCCGATCTGAGTGAATGTATTAGAGCAACTAGACAAAGATCAGTTTACTGGTGTTTTCTGCAGCTCTAAAGAACCTCTTAAGTCTGAATAAATCGCCCATGTGATGCCATCAGGGTAGGGATGCAAATCAAAAACAAGTTCCAGTTGAGGTCCGGTTCTAAATTGTCCGATCCATCTTAATCATATGCTTCCGAGTTCATCGATTCCTTTTATCTAGGCTGGCATCTTTTTTTCTTAGAGTTACACATTGCAAAGCAAACTCGTGCATCTACGCTGCTGGAAACTTGCAACAAGAAAGAGTCATGGCAGAGAGGAAGAAACGGTCCAAAGTGTGGCTTCATTACACAAAGAAAGATGTCCATAGTGCTGCTTGTAATGTCTGCAAAATGATAAAACATATGTGTCTATGCAACGTGGGGTTAATTCCAGGAATACCATGTATCTGACACTCTACGCACAAGTTCTAAGCAGCATGTCTGTTACAGATTGGAAATAACCTGTTATAATAACATTAGTGCCACGCAGGCAGGCTCAGCAATTCATTTCATCAACTAGGAAAACCTGAATGAAACTGAATGCTGTGCAAATATTTTCTCATTTTATCCACTTGAGACAATGCTGAAAGACTTTGTAGGTGCCCCCCCCCCGCCACCCCACCCACACACACACACACACAGAAAATTGACCTGGATGAATCAATAACATCCTATCAATTCCCATCCTTATATCAGGGTTATGGCTTGGCTTATACTTCAAATTTACAACAGAAACTCTGAGTAACAAGGCTGTCAGGGCCCCAAGACTCTGGAACGATCTTCCATTTGAATTTTCTTGAGTTTAAGTTCATTTAAACCACCGCTGTTTTTATACACCAAAGAGTTTTAATCAGTTCTTTTGAAAGTTGTTATTTCCATGTCTTGTCTGCTTTAATTATTGACATGTAAGGCACGTTGTACCTCTGATTTGAAAAGCACTTTATAATTAAAGATCATTATTATTATTGTTATAACAAACCAGGCACACACCAGAATGTTAACAAGGCATGGACGCTCTCAACCCAGCTCACATTTGCATGTGGGGCCCATGTAAGTAGTAAATGCTTTGAAAACTAGGGTCTATGTGGGACTGTCCATGGGTACCATATTGGCCCCATGTCAATTACCCACATCAATGGCTTTACCCAAAGGGGCCCCACATGGTTATGCTCTGACTACCTTGGTACCAAGTGGGTATGGGCCCAAAATGGGCATCTTATATCGGCACGTTATGGGTATCAGCCAATACTGGCTTTAAAATGAACTAACAGAATCGGCTGTCATGCTTTTTCTTAATTTGCACAATGAATATTACATACATTGAAAAGTATTGTATATCATGTCTTTATCTGCTGGTGGGCCATCACTTTAAGAGTATGCATGCATAATATGATGTTAATTCCACTACAAAAGAGACTTGACAATCACTAAAATTAGGTAGGGAAAAAAGTGGGTATATCAATATCAATATGGTTATCAGTCAAATGAGTTGTTACATATCGACATATCGGATATCGGGAGAAAATCCAATATCGTGCCTTCCTGTTATCCTCACAAGAAACTCGTCCACCTCTGTTGAGAGTTGCTGCTATCAGGTAACCTCTGTCCAAGATGATAAGACCTCCAACTCACCCTGCAGTCTACTCTTGGCTGTGTCCAAAGGGAAGAAGACGGTCATGGCTGTCACACTCCCCTAAAACACAATGCATTGTCATGAAACTAAAATATATACACTAAACAAAATGACAGAAGGCTCAGTCACTCCCCATGTTCTGTCTCTTCAGTAGCAGCAGTGCTAACATCAAACTAGTAAAATAAAAAGCAGGCTCATCCACATTAATGTTTGACACCTGCTTTATTGCTCTTATTGATCTCTGCTCACCATTGCACCTGCCACAGCGTGAACCAGTGTCTCGTAAGACAGAAGGCCGACAGCCGAGCCCCCGTTGCCCGACATCTCTGCAGCCTCTCCCGGTCAGACCACCACACACACAGACACCGGAAAGTAACCGCGGAGACACCCGAGGAGAGTTAGCCGGCGGTCGGTCTGGTTTTTCTGGCAGCGGAAGTGTTTGGGGAACAACAGGAACTGTCACAGCTCAGACTTCATGGTGTCTTCAAGGCTACAGGCGGCCAGAAAGACGGAAAAGTGCGGAGAGAAAAGTGTCGAGCGATGTTTCCTCCCAGTCTCCATTCATTGGTTGAGCCGGGTTGACAACTTCTTCTTCTTCTGTAGCGTCTTCGTTTTCTTCTTCTTCTACTGCTGGTTTTCAGCAACCCGGAAGGACGCATTACAGCCACCTACTGAAGTGGAGGGTGAAGATAGATAGATAGATAGATAGATAGATAGATAGATAGATAGATAGATAGATATTGGTTATAACCAGCAGTGCAAACAAATGGTTGGAGTGTAACTATTAAGCTATAGAGGACCATATATATTTATATATAGGACCATAAAGTTGTTGTTGTTGCTGTTGTTGCTGTTGTTGTTGTTGGTGGTGGTGGTGGTGGTGGTGGTGTTTTAGTTTGCTTGTCTTTCCAACTTTTTTTAATGCAGGGCTTTTACATGAAGAATGGAATATTTTTACAGTGTGGTATTTAAAGCAAGGATTTTGCTTTTAACCTATTTAATTGTTGTTCAAAATAAAGTTAAAAAAACAAAAATTATATAT